AGCCAATGTAATGAAGCTAAAATAGGAGTAATGTGGTCATATTTCTTTGTTCTGGTTAAAAGCCTGGCAGCTGAGTTCTGGACAGTCTGGAGTCGATCAATAGATTTTGGGGTTAAACAGGTGAAAAGGCTGTTGCAATAATCCAGGCGTGATGAGATGAAGGCGTGTAAAATGGTCCCGGTGTCCTTAGAAGTTAACATAGATCGAATTTTTGCTATATTTCTAAGTTGATAAAAACATGATTGAACAAGCTTTGTGGTGTGCTGCTCGAAATTTATATTACTATCAAACCAAACACCAAGGTTCTTTGCCACGACTTAATGTGATTTACTAGGGAACCAGCAGATGGCAGTATTTGACATCTGCTGGGACCCAATTACCAGGATTTCTGTTTTGTCTGAGTTCAGCTGGAGGAAATTATTTGACATCCATTTTTTAACTTCACAAAGGCAGTTGTTAAGTGAACTCAGCATTCCAGGGTCTGTGGATCTGACGGGCAAGTATATTTGTGTGTCATCAGCATAAATATGAAAAGAAATACCATGTTTATGGATAATATGTCCAAGGGGAAGCAGATACAAGGAAAACAAAATGGGTCCTAAGACAGACCCTGAGGCACACCATATTTAACTGGACAGAACGAAGAGACATAGTTGTTTAAAGACACACAAAACTTCCTATTTGACAGGTAGGATGAAAACCATTCTAGGGCAGTACCAGAGATCCCCACCCAGTGCCTCAGTCTGTCTAACATGATGTTGTGATCAATGGTGTCAAAAGCAGCGCTAAGGTCCAGGAGTACAAGGACTGAGCACATACCTTCATCAGCAGACATTAAAAGGTCATTGGTGACTTTAAGCAGGGCAGTCTCAGTGCTGTGGTACTTCCTAAAACCAGACTGAAACTTTTCAGATATTTTGTTATTTTCCAGTACAGTGAGCAGCTGTTTGGACACAATTCTTTCTAGAATCTTTGCAATAAAAGGCAGTTTTGAAATTGGTCTAAAATTATGTGGGAGGGAGGGATCTAAACCAGGTTTCTTTAAAAGTGGGTTTACGCAAGGCGTTTTAAAATAATCAGGGACACAACCAGTAGATAGGGAGCTGTTAAAAACAGAGATCAAATGGGGCCCAACAGAATCTATTACTTTCAGTAAAAATTTTGTAGGTATTACATCAAGTGGGCTGGAGGACACTCTCATTTGTGATACTGTTTTTAAAAGTACCCCGTAGGGGTAATAGAGGCTCTGATTGACACCACCTTATTGGTAAAATAAGATAAAAACAATTCACAGTCATCATTACTTCCAGCTGAGGCACAAGGAGGGGTTGGGTTTACCAGCTGATCCACAGTCTTAAACAGAAACCTGGGATTGTGTTTATGTGTAGTAATGAGTTCAGAAAAATAGTGTGTTCTCGCATCCTTAACCAAGTTGTTGTATTTAATTAATAAATCCTTCAGACTGAGGTAATGTGCTGTGCTTTCCTGCATTCCCTTTTGAGGCTGCGAATGCTGTCATTTATCCAGGGTTGCTTACTAGTTTTAGACGTAGGCCTAACCTTTAGAGGAGCAGTAATATTTAGTGACGACAAGCAGATATGATTTAAGTGATCGACCAGATTGTTGGTGTTGGAATCAGACAGGTGTTGGCTTTGGCTCTGAAAGAATGCGCAAAACTTTGAAACACTTTGTTCATTAAAGATGCGAGAACACACAGTGCTTGGTGAGGTGGCATGAGTAACAGGCGAATCGCAGCTAAAAACAATACATCTGTGGTCAGATATGGTCATGTCCTCTAATTCCACAGAGGAAATGCTGACACCCAGGGTAAAAACCAAGTCCAGTGTATGACCACGGTTATGTGTTTGCCCTTTGACATGTTGTTTGAAGTTAAAAGAAGTGGCCATATTTAAAAAGTCAGTTGCATTAACATTGGTGGGGTCATCAACATGAATATTAAAATCGCCAGAAAGAACAATTCTGTCATAATTTAAAACCAGAGTAGATAAAAATTCAGGAAGTTCTGATAAAAATCCTCCAGGCGGTTTTAGGGGGCAATAAATTATAACAAATATGATAGGTTGCAGCCCCCCAACTTTAAGAGTGAGAACTTCAAAGGAGTTAGATTCATCATAGCGTACCTGATGACATTTTACATTTTTCCTATACACGCTCACTAGCCCACCACCACGACCACTAACCCTCGGTTGACTAAAACAATCATATTGAAGCGGACACAGTTCAGCTAGCTGGCTGTAGTCATTCATTTGCAACCAGGATTCAGTTAAAAACATAAAATCTAGATTTGCAGACAAGATAAAATCATTTAAGATAAAAGTGCTTACTTGAAAGTGATCTCACATTGAAGAGAGCCATTTTAAATGAGTTTGTTTTGGGTGCTGGAATTGGTGCAGTTATCCTAATCCTTAAGAGATTACTAATATTTCTGTGTGGGATGTGCACATTTCGGTTTACTGGTCTATGCGTGATGATGACAGAAATAGAAGTCTTTGGAACAACGCTGGGAGCAGACGGCTTTACATGCCAGCAGGTGGAGACAGTTGTTTGTGGCAGTGAGGCAGAGATCTGTTCAGTGAGCGGTGGTGTGTCCAGGTGTGCTGCATGAATGATTAGTCATTCACGTAAGTCATGTGTGGACCGCACCACATGCTGTATGTGAGCGGCTAACATTTCTGAGCCCTATTTGTTTGGGTGAAGTACGTCTGTCTTAAAAAGAGGCATTCTTTGCCAGAAAATATTAAAATTATCCACATAACACACACGGTGAGCCCTGCAGGCGGACTGGAGCCAGTCATTGAGGCCAAGGAGTCTACTGAAGCGGCCAGCACTGCGACCAACTGTGGGAATGGGACCAGAGATAAAAAAGGACTTTCCACACTGCTTTAAAAAGTTAAAAAGACGGTTAAAATCTGATTTTGTCAGCTCAGACTGCTGAAGAGCTGTGTCATTTGTTCCGACATGGACTATCACTCTTGTGATGGAGGACGGGAGCGATGGCATTAGGTCCTGGAGTTTTTTTAAAATGTCAGCCGTGGTGGCACCGGGGAAGCAGTGAGTGGTAGCGTTAAAGAAACGGATGTTTCTGCTTATGGAGTCACCAATTATTAGTGTGGTTGGGGAGAAAAGAGGACGAGGAGATGCCGGTTGTGAGGTTCCAGAGAAGGACTGAGCAGAATCTGCTTCAACACTGCGTGCGGACTGAGGATGGAGTGTGTGAGCTGCCGAGTGTTGTGTTGGAGTAGCAGTAACATACCTGAGAGAAGGGCTACCTGACGGTGCAGGGTAGAGACGGCCTCCGGAGCGTCTGAGCACAGCCTCCTTCAGGATCCTACGTCGGGAAGCGGAGGTTTTTGACCGGGATGACGGCCGCCGATCAGGCCCAGCGGCAGACCGGCGGCCCAGTGCAGGAGATGTAGCCGGTGAAGGAGATGCAACAATGTCAGTAGGCACTGTCCGGCGAAAGAGATCTGTATCAGGGAGACTCCAAGCCGCAGGTGCATCCGCTGGATGGACCGGAGTGTCGTCAGACAGGGCTGCATAGCGGTTGGAGAGGCCGATGTGCGGAGGAGAGGCAGCCCCATCCGAGCCTCTCTTGCAGCCACGGACCACCACTTCAGCCCAGGTTGACTGATGCTTTGGAGTCGAGCAGGAGGAAAGCCTTGGAAGGCTAGAGGGGTCCCATAACACGGTGTCCTGGATGTTAGCGGTTGCGCTAAGAGAAACAATCTGTTTGGCTTGTACTGAAGCCACATCCATAAAGCCAGTCAGCAGGGAATCTTTCTCTTTGAGTTCCTCTGAAAGTCGTCGGATGTCTTCCATAAGGTCAGCAATCTTCTTGTTCGCTTTCTTAAGGAGTGTGCAGTCCTCATGGGGCAGAGTTATCTCGGCTAGCATAGTCACTGGAGCTTTGTTGTGATCAGTAGCGTTGATCGCATTTTTACGGTCATCTAGCTCAAAATCCATGTCGGATGACTAAAAATAAGAACTGTTCACATCGAAGTCATAGAATCCCTCGATACATCCAGCTTCATAAACACACTAAGACGTTTTCTGGCTGTGCGTGGACCAAGGAAACATATTCGTTCAGACCGCGGTACAAACTTTGTTGGTGCCTGTAAGGACTTGAAGATACCTTCAAACATTGATAACACAACTGTGAAGAATTACCTGTCAGACCAAGGTTGCACTTGGACCTTTAATCCTCCACATGCCTCCCATTGTGGCGGAACATGGGAAAGAATGATAGGACTTGCAAGTAGAATTCTGGACATGTTCCTCCAGCTGAAAGACAAACTTACCCACGAAGTGCTGGTGACATTCATGGCAGAAGTAGCGGCAATTATCAATGCCAGGCCTCTTGTTCCTGTGACAACTGACCCTGATGATTTGTTTATACTTACACCAGCTGCTCTTCTCACACAAAAGGTGAACATTGTTCCTGCTCCTGCAGTTGAGTTTGGAGTTGCAGACCTTTACAAGCGCCAGTGGCGGCAAGTTCAGCATCTCTCCAACACCTTTTGGGATAGATGGCGGAAACAGTTCCTCCCAACACTACAGGTACGCAAGAAGTGGCAGTCCATACATCCAGACATTAAGCCAGGAAGTGTCGTTCTCCTCAAGAACAGCCAAGTACCAAGAAATGAATGGCCTCTGGGACTGATAACACAGACTTTCCCAAGCAAAGATGGGAAAGTACGCCAGGTTGAAGTGAAAGTCATCAAACCAGGAGGAACTACATCTTTTCTTAGGCCCATTACAGCGATAGTGCTTCTTCTCTCTCCAGATATCTAAGTACTTTTCATAGTGTCATAGATTTGATAGATGACGTGTTATCACGTCAGGCGGGGAGTGTTTTGTTACAGCTAAGTTAATGAAACTTTGTTCTGATTTGTCTAAAACTATTTCTTTATGTGTTCCTATATTTCCTTGTGGTCACTTTAAGAAATAAGGAAGTACATCATGTGACTAGTGTTCAGGAAGTAAGTGAGCATGGCACAGGCAGGAGTTGTTTAAGATAAGTTACATCTTAGCTAATCCAGCGACATCTGCATACATCTTACGCCTTTGGCAGCATCGTGGGTATGGATTGATTGTTTATTGTTATTTACAACCTCAGAGTTGAATATTTTGGGAGAATTTTACATTTGTGAAGTTTGATATCAGAATCTGCCATTACTAATGGTTGCACGGTTCTTAAGTCATAATGGAAGTTCATAGAAGGACAATTACGAGTGAATGAACAGATAATTGATCACACGTTAAAAAGACAAGAAGATTTAATTCATATTAGAGTTTGAATGTGCATATATTTATGTCCTGTATCTCTGTACATCTTAAAGGCAAGAATAGTATTTATTATGCTTTTGTACATTTCAGTTTCACCTTTCCTTGCAACTTCATTAAACCTGTGGACAAGAGACCAACTGTCTTCAGAGTCTTGATGTTAGGAAGGAGTTTGGCTGGCTGTCAAACTATATACAATATATATACTGAGGACAGTACAATCCTATTCAAATGAATGATACCCTTTTCATTGTTTCCAAATCTTCATACTCCTTCTGCTTCTTCTTCATACAGTTAATAATAATAAATTAAGCCAGCAATGCAGTTTGGGTCCAAGCCATCAATGCTTATAATTAGGTAATGATTGATTAAAGTGGATATGGCTACAACAAATGTAAATTTGTAGACATTTCATATTCCAAACTTCAAGGAGAACATCCACTGATGAGGGAAAAAAAGGTATGCCCCACTGCATTTTTCGAAATTGCTTCAAGTACTTATTGAGGTCTTGTCAAGTCAAAGAATGACTATTGTGATCAGAAACTCTTGAAAATGTCTTTTTATTGTTAATTTTTCAAGACCTAGAAACACAAACAATTGTCACATGGTTTTCAAATTCCACTACTCAGGAACATATGATCATCATCGACGCAGTAATTTGAAAATGGCTTGGCCTAATCGTCAAAATTCCTTGCTCATTTCAATCTCTCAAGTCATCTGCATGTTTTGGCTAATAATTCATGAAAATTATTTTTGTAGAGAGTGTTCCTGGGATGAAGCTGATTCGACTGATACAGTGAATGTCCCAATAAATATTTTCACTCATGCACTTAATGCTAAATTTGATTGCAATCAGATTTGGGAATGTTGTACTTACAGTCACATAGCACAAGTGTGTTCTATCCACAAGAGGGAAGAATGGTGACATTAAAACATGATATTTGTACAATTCTGTTGTCTTTAATAAAATTAAACTTGGTACACACACTCTGCAGAAGCATGTGCTGGACATACTGAAGCATGGCATCAATAGCCCCACGTGTAAAACACAACCAATGCATTATTCAATTACCACGGATTTTGGGTGGTATCTGCAGATGTGAATCACCAACAACAATACTAGACTACCATATTGTGCTTTATCTATATTTCCCATGTTAAGAGTATTTAGTGGTGCTAACTAGCAGAGTTTCAGGAGTGGGACTACACATCAACCACGTCATCACCAGCATTTCGAAAAATACCTACACGTCCCAACTCCTCTTCTTCACTCTCGTATTCTGCATGGCTCTCGCATTCCGCACCCGAACTCAGATAAAGCAACAGCTTGTCGAGCACGCTACACTAACGTTGCTATGCCATACGAGGAATCATCACAAGCTACTCCATCCATCCACTTACCGCTTCGAGAAGTGTCGGTAAATTGCCATCAGACGATGAATTATTCCGACAAACTCATGACAGTCATTTTCAATGTCTACGGCGCAGACCCTGCACCAGAAGATGAACTCTTCTCTTACGTCTCCATGCTGAGACCCCATTTTCCACAATCGTAAAGCCGGCCAGGAAGTGGGTGAGTCCAGCTTAACTCCATCTCTTCCATGGTCCGCTTCATCTCAACAACATTTCACCCGAGAATCCTCGGTCTCACAAGAACAGCTGATCACAGCGTTACCCCACTCCAGCGAGGTCCCGCGTATAACACTCTTTATAAATGATTTCAAAACAGACTATAGTCACTGTTGACAATGATAGAATCCCGTTTACAGAACAGACAATAGTCTCAGTTGTTTCGCGCTAACGTCCGGCTCTTAGTTATTTTGAGCCACAGTCTTCTCGAGCTAACATCCGGCTAACAGTCATTTCGAGCTCACAGTCACTTCAAGCTCCGTTGTTTCGTGCTAACATCCAGTTCTCATTCGTTTTGTGCTAACATCTGGCTCTCAGTCGCTTTGTTCTAACATCCAGCTGTCAGTCGTTTCGAGCTCACAGTTGTCTCTAACTAACATGCGGCAAACAGTCATCTTGAGCTAATATCCAGCTAACATTCGTCTCAAGCTCAGTCGCTCCAAGCTCTGTTGTTTCGAACTAACATTCAGCTTACAATCACAATCGTTCGAGCTCACAGTCGGCTCTAACTAACATTCAGCTAATAGTCATTTTGAGCCAACAGTATTTTCTAGCTAAGGCATTTTGAGTTGTCTTTACCTAAATCGGTATAATCATTTCAAGCAAACAATAGTTTCTAGTTAAGTCACCTTCAAGATAAGTCGTTTGGAGAAAACATTGAGCTAACAGTCAAGTGTTTTGAACTAAGCGTTCGAGCTAAGTCATTTCAAGCTAAAGCCATTTCGAGCTTAAAATTGTCTCGAGTGAGCAGTCTCTTCAACTAAGTCGTTTCGAGCTAAAATCATTTTGAGTCAACAGTTGTTCGAACTAAAAGGGGCTTTCTGCACCGGGATGCTGGAGTCCACCGCGGCTCATTCCCAGTCATCGCCAACCCGACTGTGCCACTGGTCAGGTGAAGTTTCAAACTAAAGTCGTTTCCGGGGAACAGTTGTTACAATTAGAAGGGGCTTCCGGCACCAGGTTGCCAAAGCCTACTGCTGCTCGCTCCCAGTCCAGGGTTTGTGGGTTCTATAAGGATAGATGGTTCGCAGCGGAATGGTCGCCAAAACCTTGACATTAACAGCATAGCTCTCTCTCGTGCTAGAGGCCAGCTTGAAGAGCTCCCGCCACGTCACAACTAGTACAACATAATAACAAACATGTTGCATCACTCAGTCGTCCCGAACCTTAGAAGCTACGTTCACACCCGCTCACGTTTCACCTCCCTGCATCTCCCCTTGTCTCGACCATCGGCGTCATACTCGCAATTCAGACTCATTCCCCAAACAACACCGCGTTCTACTAAAGAAACCATATAATTGGCCCTGCTTACACCTGTCTTTTCTCTGGAGTCCAATGAACCATTGCAACTCTGGGATCCCAGAGTACAACACACCAGATCATCTCCGAGTCGGTTCCAGTGGTCTCTCGATTCCCGGTGCCATAAAATTGCTTCAAGTTGTCTTCTCTCTCAACAATCTCTACCACCATCAGAGACTTGCAAGAGAAAACACAAGCCGACCAATCACAGTTCTTTTTGTCTCCATGTGATCACACTGGAGCCACCGTAACCCAGACATGTGATTACATTTTTCAGCTGGAACACATCATCTATGGTACAGTTTACTGCTGTGTAGTCGACTGGGTAGCTATAGCAGCTATGTGCATAGGCTACGTAGCTACATACTTATAAATCGACACAACAGTAACAAAATATTAATGAATACTTGTTTGAAAGCTGTAATCTGTCATTAGAATACATTTTAAAAGGAGAAGGACTTAAAAACAAACATGACAGTTTTGACCAATTGAATGCTAAATGTGAACAAACATACTGCATCTTATACATTTGGGGCATACATTAAGTAACCCACAAATTGCAGTTGTTGGCCACAAATACCTACGACCAGTGGGCTACCTGTGGCCTTTTCTCGTGACTCTCTGGATGTGGACGGTGATCAGTCTTCATTGTTTGACAAAGGCTGTGGTTTCAGGTGAGAGCCTCAATATATTTGTTACAATTTTAAATTTTTAATCCTCATTCCTCTCTCTCTCTCTGTAGCTCCATCGAACCATGGTGGTCTTGGCTGTAGTCCTAAGTGGTGTGGCCTTCACCCAGCCTTTCATAAACAGGAGGGGATGGAGCGATGGTACGTGTGTGTGTGTGTGTGTGTGTGTGTGTGTGTGTGTGTGTGTGAGCGTGTGTATTTGTACCTCGTCCATGCTTCCACCTGCCCCACCATATGTTTAACTGCCGTTTGGCTGAATATTTTGCTGCATGTCTCCACTTTTGTCAGTGGATGTCAGCCATCTATGTAGACTTCTACAGTTAGAAAAAACAAGCTGTAAAACATGAAACTGCATTAGCAGATTTTTATTGCTGGAATAAGGAAACCCCTTGATGTTCATGATGTTTTTAGTGACCTTGTGCCCTTTCCTGTAGAGCCTCTCTCAGACCAAAATGTCAACTTTGGACAAAGGATATCATGATCTAAAAGGTAGATTGTAATAATATTTGCTTTGTACATGCCTGTTTTAAAAGGGGATTTTCATTTGAATGGCCCCAGTGGTCTATCTTGTCACAAGAGCAAGGTTGAGTAGTAATTTACATATTCAGCCCTGATTAGGTATTTTCTCTCATTTTCTCTATACTGTCACACAATGAAGTAGCTAATTTCCCGATTTCATGCTTTCACACATTATTTTCAATCCACATTGCATCCTGATGTGTCTCCAGAGTATGTATGAGTGAATGTACTCAATTGGCCACTCTAGCAGCTCTGTTAGGTTGTACTTAAGCACAGCAGAGCTAAATAATAATAATAATAATAATAAACTTTATTTATATACACATTTCAAACCACCGTTACAGAAACAGGGTATATTTAACAAGAAGATAGAATAAAGTGAACTAAAAGCTATATACCTAAACACCTTACAAAACAGAAAGAGAGTAAAATGAACTAAAGAATTCTGGCAGCAGAGTTTTGGATTAGCTGGAGACAGGGGAGGGATTTCTTACCAGAGAGCAAAGAATTACAGTCACCTTACAGTTTCCAGATTTTTGGCAGATTGAAAAGGTCTGATCCTTGAAATGTTGAAGTGATAAAAGCAGGATTGAACCATTCACTGTAAGATGTTTATTGTCGAATTAACAGTAATTTACTGGCAACAATTATCCAGTAGTGGCTGTATTTCATTCTACGGTAAAATTACCAGTAAACCAACAACAGTAGTGTTTAGCATACCGTAAAATAAAGTACAGTATTTGTACTGTTATTTTGAAGTATAGAATTATACTGTACTAGTATTGTACTGTATTTTTGGCATACTGTATAATCAAGTACAGTAATATACTGTTAAAATATAAAATATGGTTATTTAGCTGTTGATGTAAAATAAGAAAAAGGACATTTGAAGACTTAACTGCACAAAAAGCAGATCGTTTATTGCACAAGCAGAACAATACATTCATAATAACACATATATAAAGAGATCTGTTTTGAAACTGATAGTCTAACAATGTCGTAGGCAGTCTGTAATCAATGTATAAAAAGGGGTTCTCTGAAAATATTTCCCTCTAACTAGCCACAGAGACTAGAAAAGCCAGGTTGAAGATAAGAAAATACTGAAACGGATGTTTTTCCATCCATCTAGTAAAAAAATATGGTTCATCAACCATCTTGCCCACATGCTAAACATGACATTCTCCATAAAGATCATCAGAATAAATAACAAGTAACAACTAATCACAACTCCAGAAAAGTGGCTGAACATTCAACCAAGCCACAGTTATCCTGTCAAGACACACTGCAATACACAAAAGAATCTTCACAAAACAATTTCTCACTGGAGGTGTTCTGGGTGGGGATGTCAGCATTGGAGAAGTAATGGTGGTGAAGTTAGACAGGTGAGGGTGGAGGTGGTGAGCAATGGCAGTGGTGACAGCAGTTGTGATTGTCCTGCAAAAAAATTAACAACAACACAACAAATCAATCACTGGGGCAGAAATTCATCTAAAATGCCAAACTCACATTATCTAAACACCTTTGAGAGAATCTATGAAGGCTGCTCTGCACTCTGATTACACAAGACAATCAATACCTTTGAATGTGACTTAATGAGAATTTAGGTGTACGGTCAGAATACTCAGACACAGTATGGGACATGTACATGACTTCTGTGTTGTCAAGTCTTTTTTTATTCAAAGAAAAATGTAATCATCACCCTCCTATCTATATGTTAGAGTACAGATACTGTAGGTGTATTTTCAGAGACTTTTTCCTATCCAATTTTACTATGGGAGTCAATGGAAAAACTGGACACTTTTACTCTCACTTCCACTGACAGGATGACCAAGGCACACAATTTTGGTGATATTCACAATGATTCATATAATCAATAATAGCCATCAGTGCACATGAATGCTCACGGATGGATTCTCCTTCCTGCTACTTCCTATCAAAAATTGTTTTTGCAATCTGGTTGAGGAATTGGGTTGCCCACAAATCTCCTGTAGAATTTCCTGAATACATCTAGGATCTCTTCTTTCTGCCTGAGACCGATATTTTACCTCTTGTCATGCCTCCCTTTCTAGATGATCATAAATGTACATAGCCTTCTCAGTATCCTCAAAATGGCTGTAACCAAAAACTGAGTTTATTTCATTCAAGACTTTCTGAAGATGGATAATAAATTAAATGGTCTTAGACCATCATAACTTAAACTCATAATACAGGTCTGTTTTACTCAAGAATTACCAACAAGCTACCACAAGCAATCATTTTATCTATCTATTTAAGCTCATCTTTATGTAAAATGTCTGTTATAGCAAGGGTCTAAAACCAAGTTCAGAGTATCTTAAATCCAATAAATCACTAACTAAATGTAAATATATCCAGTAATTTTAGTGGGCCATACTACAATAATGGGCCATGGTGTGTTAGTTAATAATAATGGACAGGTTGGAATCCTGAAGATGGTCTTGGTCCCACAAAATGGCTCAGCTCCTTGTGGAAATAAGAGAACAGAAAAGCCAGTTAAAATAAAAATAAAGAAGACTGCCTGCAAACATAAATTCACTTTAATGTTAACTTACATGCAAACACCCAAGGTCAGCTCCATTAAATAACATAGAAAGTTCCGGTAAATTTGGCCTTTAGCCTAAATATACTATCTTATAAAATAAAATGTGCAAATCAAGCATTTTGTTTAAGCTATTAATGTTAATTTAATCAACTTCTAACTTACTGACAGGCTAAAAGGACAGCTTTGCTATACCAATGTTACCTAGCTAGCTAACGTTAGCTGCGGCTACCAGATACGTTCAATGCAGAACATCAAAGCCACAGGCAGTTCTTCTAGACTAACGTTAATGTTATGTTAGTGCACTTTTTGTTTCTTTCACCACTCAACAGATATTAAGGATGAAGCAGCTTCCAGGTCAGCAGACAGACGGACGATCACCCAGAACAGGCTCTAGCAAATGTGCTCTCATACAGCTGCACTCCCCGCACTGAGAGCTACAACCGAAGAGTCCATTTAAAACGTCACACAAAACATAAGCGCCAACTTAACGCATCCAGTCCAGTCCTGAAGTTTCAAGAAAAGTTCCATGATATCTGATTTTCCAATCAAAGACAGTCTTTCATTTCAAAATGGAGGTTGGTGGTGGTTTTCGCGGTCAGTTAGCATTACTGTAGATTACAGTTAGATTTACAGTAATATTTTCCCAGAATGCATTGAAAATCTACAGTAACATACTGTACACCACTTATACAGTAGGAAACTGTTGAAATAACAGTAATGATACTGTGAAAACAACACAATGTACAGTAACATACTGTACACCACATATACAGTAAGAAACTGTTGGAAATACAGTAATACTACTGTGAAAACAACAAAAATCATTTAGTGTTGATTTAACATGTTTGACTGAGGTTTTAATAAATATCGACACCAAGATTTATGCAAGGAGTTTTTGAATGGGACAGTGAACTCAGACTGTTTGTTATTTCTGTATTTACACTATCTTGATCTATGATCAAAGTATTTGTCTTTTCAGTATTTAGCCAAAGGAAATTATAGGGACATCCACTTGTGAACGTCATGAAGGCAGTTTAGCAGGTCAACAGTGTTCTGATATTTTTTATTGACTTTTAGGCATGACCGTTACCACTGCAAAGCAGTGTCGCTGATATCCACCCAGGTTTCAAGACTGTCTAAGAGGATCTGTGGTCAATGGTAGTGAATGCAGCACTTCAATCCAAGAGAACCAGAACACGTTTATGGCCAGATGCCAACAATAAGTAATTTAAGACGCTAAGAAGCACAGTTTCAGTACTATGTTTGAATAAAAGCCTGCAGTTGAGCTGCTTCAATGTTTTCTAAAGCTTTGGCTAAAAATGACTAGAAATAGTCCTAAAATTGTAAATTCTTAATTGTGAGGAAAAACTGCCAGCTGGTGTTTGAGCTTGAAGTCTATGAAATCGATAAAAAAATGTTGCTAATTTGCATAAATATTGACAACCTTAATGGTTATGCTCCACTTTCCAGCACCGCATCCGAGTCTCTGGGAGGGGAGAGAGGAGCTCTTCTCCAAGTTCACCGTAAAGCCCAGGTGCTACAGAATTATGACCAGTGCCACCTTCTGTAGCGCCGCCCCCTTTCTGGAGCGGGCTAGCAGCAGCCGGTCGTCCAAATAAAAGAGCACCTTCAGGCCCCTCCGGCGTAGCGGCTCCAGAGCAGTCTCAACTCCGGTTTCCATGTGCAGCCCGACAGCAGCTGCTGTGGTCAGGGAAACAACCATGTACCTGTGCGGTACAAGAACCGGGATGGGGGAAGGTGTATAGCAGCCAATTGGGCCACAGAGGATGCGCAAAAGCATCCACCCCAGTGGGGGAGCATCCCGAGACCTCAGGGAGAAATGCAGAAACTTTCTATGTTTCAAAATGATGGAAATGTGGAAGTACGAGTCCTTCAGTTAGATGGAGGTGAGCCACTCTCCCTACCGCACACACTCAAATGTCTTATCATCAACATGTGAAACGGCTGTTATTGCTCTTTTTTACATTATAGTTTAATTGTTATTATTATCTTAATCATAGTTTATAGTTTGATTGTTATTACCTTAATGATAGTCAGAATGTGATTATTGTTGAGTATGTTATTGATGTTATTGATGTAAGGTTGAATCATACTGTGTGTATGCTTATTCACTATTATCAGCAGACTGTACTCTGAGTTATTGAAAGGTCAAGGGAGAGTCACGGGCTTGAGGGAGATAAGGATCCAGGTGCACCAGCATAACAAATATCAGTCTTTAAAGCACACAAGACAACACCAAGAAAACACATGTTGGTCTGTCAGCACACGTTAGCATCAGAACACGCTTAAATGAGTAAACCCACAGAGCAAACTGACAGATGGCTGATTGTTTATGCCAAGAAATATTGGTTTCAAAGGACCCCTTAGGGAGTGCTAAAGGTTCAAGGACAATAGTTTTGAGGAACCCCTTAGAGTGGAAAATTCCAAACAGTCTGTTGAGTGCCATGGTTGATTTGAAATGATTGTGTAACCAGAAAACATGTTAACCTTTTAAATCTTATTTGTTTAAGCTAAGTAAATTTGACCTTCTGGAGGTTCTAATGGTGAATTAGGACTAGAGCATTCAAAAAATATAAAAAGGATGTTGTTACGACAATTTATTGTTAAAAATAGTTAACTTTGATTAGACAAAAAGTAAAATGATTAATAGCACATGAAGTAAATCAGTACACTAAAGCTGCCACTAGATGGCAGCAGAGGATAAGACATTCATCATCAGAACGAGCCAGAAAGGGTGCGGTCAGCAAACATAGAGGAGGAGATAACGTAGAAATCCCAATTTAGTGGGCAAAGACTGAGGATTATAAAAGGAGATGTTCGCTGACTGCGCACTCAGTTCCAAGCATGTAACTCGGGTTTTCGTCTTTTACAGAAATAAAAACTCTTTTCCATCGAACTGTCCCCAGAGATGTTTTTGGACTACAAGTTATTGAATATTTTGGCGAGTTTCTTAATGTGTTCTTTAGCTTGCCTAACCCGGACTTAGTGCCCTTCAGAGAACAGAACAAGGATGAGTCTCGTGCCTCCAATTTTCTTCTAGACCAGGAACCTTAGAGATTGCCCGCTTCCGCTGTAGCTCCTGCAGCTGGGACAACAGGACAGTTCCCAGTATCCCGGTGAAGGGTGGAGATGAGCACATGCCATTGTTGACATGTGGAGCAACCACTCCGCTGCTCTTGCCGCCGTTACGATGGTGGGGGGGACCTGGTTTGAACGGCCGGAGAGGAATGCCCTGAGGAGGCAGCAGCGTCCTATCTCCGCCTCAAGACAGGGAGAGGGAGGCTCTTGTGCGCCTGCACACACTGCCAGGCAGGAAGGGGGGTCGTCAGCGTGTCACGTGTGATGTCCGAACGAGAAAATGTCATCGTACTCATGAAACATACATATGTACATATGAAATAAACTCAGTTTTTGGTTACAGCCATTTTGAGGATACTGAGAAGGCTATGTACATTTATGATCATCTAGAAAGGGAGGCATGACAAGAGGTAAAATATCGGTCTCAGGCAGAAAGAAGAGATCCTAGATGTATTCAGGAAATTCTACAGGAGATTTGTGGGCAACCCAATTCCTCAACCAGATTGCAAAAACAATTTTTGATAGGAAGTAGCAGGAAGGAGAATCCATCTGTGAGCATTCATGTGCACTGATGGCTATTATTGATTATATGAATCATTGTGACATAAAAAAAACCTTGATGAATTTATTTACAATAAAAAAAAAATAAAAAAAATCTGTTTTCATTTGCTTTCAGGTTAATGATAATTAACAATTATAATAATAATAATAATAATGATAAATAATTATTTGTCTGTAGAACATAGAAAAGATATAAATTCAGGTATGATGCAAATTAGCGACAACAGGCATAAATGAGAAAAAAGGTGCAAAAGGTTACCAGGTACGTATCAAATATGCACAAACAGTGGAATACAAATGCTATTTCAGTTGCACTCTGAAAGGAAGAGGTGTGATGCAAATTTGCGACAATCTGCGTTAAAGGGGTTAAAGAGCTGTCCCTTGCATCCTGGGCATGAATGTGACTTGACTGGTATCATGATGACTTGTTGTCTTTGACAAGTTAATCAGAATACAGTCTATTCTTCAGTAAATCAAAATATATTTTTCTTGAGAAAAGTCTGTCTGGAATTCAGCTTCTTTTGCTGTGAATTAACTTTGTGAACAACACTGTGGTGTATGTGTGTGAATGACTCAGCCGTGTTAGTCACATGCTGGGTGGCATAGTGTTGAATCCATCCAAGCATTTGTTCATCCTGACTAAGCTCAGAGGCTGGGCTTTCAGGACAGACACCAACATAATCTCTCTGCAAGGTTTTCCACTGGCTGAACTGCTTTATCATAAAGATGATAAGAGTGTGTTAGGTATGTAAGTCTGTGGTGCTTCCTATAAATGTGGTGGCTGGACTTAAGGTGGACAGAGGAACAGACACAGCATGTATACAGACTTTGAGGAATCCCAGTTCTAAAAGCATTTCCACAGCAGTGTCACATAAAGTTGAATTCAAGTTTGAGCTTTGAATGATAAGATTCTGGGTAAAGTATAATTTTTAAATATTAAGTATGACATATTTGACTTAGTACATCTCTAAATATATACAATGAAATAGCACCAAGGCAAAAAATTTACCCACGAAATTCTTAAATGACGCTGAAATGGAAACAACACAACAAAGCAGGGAGGAAACTCTGCTCTTGTAAATGAGATACATCAGAGAAAATCTTGAAAAGGGGGAATTTAGTGCTTACAATAAAAGTACAGACAATGAAAATGCATAACATTTGACAGTTATTCACCCAGGCAATCACACTTCATTAATCACATTCATACTCTACCTCAAACATAGAAGCTGTTTTTATTTTCAGCTCCTGGAAACATACATATCCATAATTTTGTTCCTGACGCTATTGACAGTGTTTTGCATTGGCCTCCAGGTGTCTATCTTTCCCCATGACACAATATCAGGAGATCCTGACTGAATCCAGCCGCAGTAAAGCATACACTGCCATTTGAGCATGGTTACTCATGTCGGTGCTGTATTCTCTTGCTCTGATTCAATACAAACACATGCAGTGTATGGACAAGGTATCTACTTGTATAACTTATTTCTGGTGTTCAACACCTGTTCTTAGAGTGTGAACACATGTTCAGAAGACTTACAAACACACTTAGTTAATTATATCATTGCATTATCCTGCTGCCACTGGAGCTCAAGCTCAAGCTATATTTTAAAGTAAAATATTACTTTAAATGTGAATTATGTGTAATGTCAGGATGTCTCAGGAATAAGACATATAGTATTTTGTATTAACTGGCACTGCTTGCATGTGCTTTTAACCAACAATAGTGTGCACTGTGGCACATTCACTGAGTGTTCTCAAACTCTGATCCTCCCTCCTCTGTCGTGTCTTGTCCACTTCTGTTGTGACACTGTTATGTTCACATACCACCTGCTGCTTCTCCTCCTGCTGTCACTACTCCTACTCACAGAGCATTATAAACTCATAATCTCTGAAAAGGTTTTCCCTTCCACCGGAAAATATTACAGCTATGATGCTTAATTAATTAACACTGCTACATAATATTAGTAAAGTAACAAAAGGTGATGATAAGAATGGTGATGAGTATGGCAATGTTGATGATGACAATAATAAAAGGATAAAAAACATAATATCAAATACATGCTGTATACACTGACACGTTCACTTTTTGGGGGGTGCAGGAGTTGTTCAGGGTATCACCCCAAATGGTCAGCTGTCTCTTCAAGGTCAGGGTGCAGCCAAAGAAAGGGTATCCCCTCATCCCACCCTCACGTTTACATTACAGTTTTAAAAACATTGAATAAATAAGTAAATTAATTTAAATTAATTTGAAAAAATCACAACCCGTCCCCTCCAACACATCATTTCCCGTACGAATCACGATTCTTACTTCTTCCGAAATGAATAGATTCACAGCTTCCAAAAATCAATGGCATATACATTAGGCTATAAATCTATATAGCCTATATTATAAACAACAGTTTGCAAAGTGTTATCACACAAAGACAACATCCTTCCATAAGCAAGGAATCTCTGTATGTTTATATGTATATTAGCTAAGCTTAGTTAAGCTCAGTGGAGGTGGACAGGGTGATGAAGACCCCAGTCATGTTGATGAGAAGGGGAAGAAGCAACAGAAGGAGAAGGTCAATGGAATCATACAAAACAGTGACAGGTACAGGGGCAGTGTGCAGGGCTGGGTAGGCAATCTTATTATGCATAGATAGAACTAGAAAATGGATTATTGTTAGTCATATTTATAACTGATGTTCTTCTCATGCATATGTAGCTGTACAATCAGTAAATGCAGAGTGGGGCCAGCACAGGGGATGCTGAGCCAGGGATAGGCCTACTCAGTACAAAATCCTCCTCCTCACACATAAAGCCCTCCATAACAAGGCCTCTTCCTACCTCGAAGACCTGCTCCACCACCACAATCCTTCCCGTAACCTCCACCCCTCTGACATTAACCTCCTCTCCCCACAAATCAGGACCAAGCAACGTACAATGGCGACAGAGCTTTCACCATTGCAGCCCCCTCCCTATGGAACTCCTGACCCATACACGTCAGAGATTGCAGCGACATGCGCTCTTTCCAATCACTTATCAAAACCCACCTTTTTAGACTAGCTTTTATCCTCAAATAATGTTAAATTGCACCTGCTGCTGTTTGTCATTTTGTTATTTATATGGTCGTCCCTTCACACTTATGTATTTCCGCACCACATGTTTTTATCTACTGTTCATATATTTTATATTTTATATTTATGTTTTTTTATTTGTTTTAAATGTACATAACTTCTGGCTGTACTGTAAAGTGTCTTTGAGTGTCCTAAAAAGCGCTATAGAAATAAAATGTATTATCATTATTATTACTCAGAGCTAAAGATGAATACAACTTGAATTAAATGACACTGGCTCCACACCAAGTGTCCCTTATAATTATATAGTTTTGCATTAAAACCTTCCTCCACACCCCAAAATTCCGCCTCCTTGGCTAAGTGAGAAAAAGAGCTTTACAATAACCCTAGCTAGGTTGGACCTCACAAACCTTTTTGGAGTTCACTTCCTTATTTCTTTATCCTTAATTCTTAGAAATATGTCTTTAAGTTTGTGCCTCACCTAATGTCAGTGCACAATTTAAGTATTTTCTCAGCAAGCCTTTAATGCTTCTTTATTAGGCTGAATATTTGTTTTGTTTTATTTTTGTTATTTAACTAAGTTACCTGGATTTTGGCATAAATTGGTCATAAAATGTGATCTGATCATCATCAACGCACAGCAATAGACAAACACAGTCTGCTTAAACTAATACCACACAAACAATTATATGTTTTTATTGAACACATCGTGTAAATATTTACAGTGCAGGATAGACAAAATATGTGAACCCCTATGACTTCTCCAAAAGCTAATTGGAGTCAGGAGTCAGCCAGCCTGGAGTCCAATCAATGACGAGATTGAAGGTGTTGGTTAGAGCTGCCCTGCCCTATAAAAACACTCACCAATTTTGATTTTGTCATTCTCTTGAAACATTGTCTGATGTGAACCATGCCTCAAACAAAACAGCTCTCAGAAGACTTAAGATTAAGAAATGTTGACTTGCATGAAGTTGGAAAGGGTTACACAAATATAAAAATAGTCAAGATAAACATCAGTCCACGGTAAGACAAATTGTCTATAAATGGAGAAAGTTCACCACTGTTGCTACTGTCACTAAGAGCAGTGTTGGGCAGTAACGTTACTCAGTAAAAGCTAAAGGAAGAATGGAGAATGAGGGAGAGAGGTGTTCTTTCCACACCTGTAAATTCTGTAAGATAAGATGCAAAGAAC